AGCGTTAATATCTAATTTTATTCTTCCAATTAGTTTTTTTTATTTCGATGAGTGATAGTTAAAGCTAGTTACACTATTTTTCCGCATGGAAAAGAATCCTTGAAAAAAATACTGTATTATTGTGGTCTTCCATTTCATTTCCATTTTCATATAATTTCACAAAAAAAATGTATGTCAATTACGTTTTTATATAAAGGAATTGCAAAAAAATATTGGGTAAATCTGATCGACATGAGTAGTAGTAGTAGTTCTTTGTTACACCTGCAGTTGTTGTATTAGATTGGTTAACTTTAGTTCCATCACATGCAAACGTGTTAAGTGTTCGTCGTGTCTATCCTGGTTGTGAATAATTGCACAAATCAAATTACAGTAAATTAATTTGTTTGAAAAATTGGAGGAATTAACTTTTCTAATTATTGGCGCTTGTTAGCTGCAAAATGTAAGTGATATGAAGACATAAGAAATTGTAATCATCGCGACAATGTTTTACAATCTCGCTAGGATATAAATTATAATCAACTGTGTGTTACAACAATGTAAGTTCTTAATAGGCATATTTTTTCTATACACTATCTTAAATAAATAATTAGTAGTAAATATTCAGTTGCTGAGAACAGTTTATTACATAAGACGTTCTATAATTAAACTGACACCATAAACCTTGATTTCTTTGAAGTTTCTAAGTTAATCAATACTTCCACTTTTCATGCGGATAAACCGACGTCCCAGGGGGGTAATAATTTGACAAAACCGAATTATCATATTTACACGTAATTTTGGAATAATTCGGATTCCCGACTAAATCAGCTTTTATTAACAGATGTCACCCTCTTTATGAAATGGGGGAAGGGATGCCCGAGTCCGTACAATTAAACCGCTGAAACTTCAGTCTTTCAGTCTTTGCTCGCTGTCAGGCTCTGCGACGTCGCCTAATTTATTCCGCATGGACTTGCAATGCGCTGCAATACTGTGAACGGGATAGTCCGAGGGTGCTGTTATTCGCGGTGTTTTGCTTTATTTTTTTGAAATATACTGAAAATTTAAGTGCCACGTTGAATACCCTGTAGGTATGTACAATTTTTTCCTAGTGCGTCGAAGAATAAACTTGACAGATACAGCTACCAGTTTACTTTTAAACAGGATTTGATTAAACATCCCTGTTTATATAAAAAAATTAAATTCCTTAAATAATATTTTAATAAAAATACATAATATTGATAATTAGTTATATTTGTTACATAGTTTTATTTTTTTCTCTGTTTATTGGGTATTTTGCCATCTACGAAAAATTAAATGAAATATTAAATAAACTTTTGCTTCAAATGGAACACACGAAGTTTATTTTTATTAAACTACCTTTGCCTAACCAACAATCTCACGCTGAAACAAGCAGTACATGTGACTGTATCACGCTCATTAATTACATTTAGCGATTTGAAGAATCAAGGTTATTTCGTTTTCAAACCTGGGAATGACGTTTCTTTTTAAATAGATTTGACAGTTTAGATTTCAAAGTCGAAAGATAGTATTTATTGGATCTACTCATTATTTTGGAGAAAATTCTCAATGTATAAACATCAGACTAGATTATCACAAAACTTATACAAAAAGGTAAGAAATTGAGAAACCAGGAATTTTCGAAAACGCTTGGGAAAACGTTCCATAATTCAATGGCGTTCGGTCAAAATTTTGGAGAAGGAATATGACATTGCTAAAAGAAAATTAAAAGTTATCTTGATTAAACGGTGAGAGATATGTTACTCTGTAAATTTGGATTTTCGGCTACAAATACTAATAGTCCACAGTACAGGCCCCCTCTGGAAAGTTGATTATCACATACTTTATAACTCCTGAGGAGCTTCGTTTTGACGAGTCTACCACATTTTTCCTCTGCGACTTTTCTCGATTCCTCCGCTTTTCCACTCGGAAAGGTCCGAAAACATGGCAATTTCCCGGGGTCTTGAAAACTCAAGACCACATCTTTTATTTTCAGCTTAAGTAACTGGAAATTTTGTTGCAAATGCCGATTTAAATTTGTCCGACAGAAATTCCTCCGACATTGACGTGTCTACATGCCAAAATAACAGGGTATTGAAAATTAATTGTAAATAATTAATTCAGTCAAAAAGTATTGTTGTCCGACAAATTTCAAGCCGCGTTTTTTCAGTCCGACAGCTGGAAATCGGAATTTTCACGGGGTATGAAAAATCGATTACCACATATCTAATTTTCATTTTTTCCACTTTTAAATTTACTGTACAAAATAGTGATATAAGTGTCCGACGATTTAATGTCCGCAAATTATTAAAAAATCAATAAATCAATAAACGTGATGAAATTTAATTTTTTCACTCCAAAAATTTCATATTTATAAATGGTTATTAATTATTATTATGTAAATTATTATTTGTTTCAAATAAATAATTATAATATTGCTTATTTTATGCTTAAAAATTTAAAAGTTATAAACAAATGAAGTTATTTTTGAGGCGATTAATACTATCTTAGTGCATAATGCATTATTTCTAAATAAATTAATATTATACTTGATATAAAAATCCTTTTTTCTCTTTCAAGTTTTCATTCGCGTTTGTTATTTTTCTTTACAAAAATTTTCCTATTTTTCTAAAAGAAAATCCCAAAACTTTTGTGCATAATTTTTTTACACCATACATACTTTTTTTAAATCGTTTAATTCTTTTCTCGATATTTATTTGGCTAAATTGAGCATATAGAGATTTACAATTACAAGAATAAATTTATAAAGGGTGTTTCAGAAAGACCTCCCGTAGATAAAGGGGGTGATAGTATGATAAAAAATGATAATTTTTTGTATTATGAACTCTATGTCTATTTCCTCTTGTTTTCGAGATGCAGAGAGACAAAATAAAAATTTTTAAATAACATTTTTATGAAAATTTTGAAATAGTGCGAAATATTTTTAAATATTTAAGGGTGCCAAATACGCTAGTTTAATTAATTTTTGTATCTTTCATAGAAAGCGCTAGTTATGCTACATTCTTATTACAATTTAAGTTATATTTTTTTTAAGGTTAGTTTTTTTACCAGTCGGGCTCTAATTTCTATTGTACAATTTTATTTTCTAAAAATAATGTACTCTTGTTAGAACTTCCTAATGTGGACGATTTTCGAGAAAAAATGCTTTTAATTAAACTTTTACAATATTTCACTATAAAATAAGTGACTTTTTTAAGCTTGAGCTTTGAGAAGAGGAGATAGACATATAGTTCATATGACAAAAAATTCTTATTTTTTGTCGTCCTCACCCCCTGTATTTACGGGAGGTCTTTCTGAAACACCCTGTATTGTATATTTATATGGAATTTTGCTTAATACATGAAAATACCTTATTAAAAATTATAAATACATGTGCACATTTTTTACGAAATTTTTTTCATCATTTTTTGTCGGACTGACGATTTGCTGATATATTTTTGTCGGACATTACAATTTTTGCTTATAAAAAACACTTTTTCATACCCCGTGAAAATTCCGAATTCCAGCTGTCGGACTGAAAAAACGCGGCTTGAAATTTGTCGGACAACAATACTTTTTGACTGAATTAGTTATTTACAATTAATTTTACTAAAAATTACCTAAGTGGTAATTGATTTTCAATACCCTGTTATTTTGGCATGTTTCGACCGGTAGACACGTCAATGTCGGAGGAATTTCTGTAGGACAAATTTAAATCGGCATTTGCAACAAAATTTCCAGTTACTTAAGCTGAAAATAAAAGATGTGGTCTTGAGTTTTCAAGACCCCGGGAAATTGCCATGTTTTCGGACTTTTCCGAGTGGAAAAGCGGAGGAATCGAGAAAAGTCGTAGAGGAAAAATGTGGTAGATTCGTCAAAAGGATGCTCCTCAGGAGTTATAAAGTATGTGATAATCAGCTTTCCAGGGGGGTTTGTACTGTGGACTACAACAAAAATAAGTAATAAAATAGACATCATTATATGATGATATCTCTAGCTATGCAAGCAGACAAACAAATTTAAACTGTCAGACCTAATTAAAAAAGAAACGCTACTCTCATCTTTGATAACCAAAATATATTGATTTTTCGAAACGTTACTATATAGCCCGGTCAAAATAGACATTCAAGGTTACAATAATTCGCATAAAGCTGAAAATTGGTACGAATGTTGGGAACATCATTATAAATGAAATGTGAAAAGTCCCCATCGATCCCACATCTGCAAAAAAATTTATTCAAGATCAAAGTTCGCAAATATGGGTTTTTTACATTTTTCAGCCAAACGGTAAGTTTTATCATAAAAATAGACTAGACAAAAATTGCAGAGCATGCAATTATCTACAAATTGTTTTTACACTTTTTTCCTAAGAATCACCATTTCTGAGATATAGCGATCCAAAAAGTTCCATAATATGCACAAGTTTTCACGCCACCTATGAGGTAGAGTACTTGGCGCGTTTTTTAACGTGTTTTCCCGGTAACATAACATTGTATTAAATAAAAAATGGTACTCGTCGTATTCATCTGATTGATAATTATCTAATGGAACTTCAAGTGTAATGTCTCCTTCTTCTCCTCCTCCTCCTCCTCCTCCTCCTCCTCCTCCTCCNTTATAATTATCTAATGGAACTTCAAGTGTAATGTCTCCTTCTTCTCCTCCTCCTCCTCCTCCTTCTCCTCCTCTTCCTTCTTCTTCTTTTTCCTTTTGGATACAAGTAAATTGTTCTAACAGCGATGCATCAGATGTTTCCTCGCTGATATCTTAAGAATCCTCTTCTGATGGCGATTCAACATTGAAGCACGACTGGCCTTGACAACTGGTACATGCTAATGAACAAAACAATCCAACTTTTTTGCAGCCGCATTTAGCACTATACCCTTTTTTGCAATTGCAAAAAGGGGTGATCCAATGTTGAATCGCCATCAAAAGAGGATTCTTACGATATTAGCGAGGAGACATCTGATGCATCGCTCTTAGAACAATTTACTCGTATCCAACAGGAAGAAGAAGAAGAAGAAGAAGAAGAAGAAGAAGAAGAAGGAAGAGAAGGAGAAGAAGAATTACACTTGAAGTTCCATTAGATAATTAGACGAATAGTTTTCCCCAATTATTCATAATTCACACCGCTCTCATTATTTCCAATAGTACAATTTTTTATTCAGTACAATATTATTTAATTAAACAGGAGCACAATAGATTGTGGAATAGGCCTACCGGGGAAACAACGTTAAAAAAATGCGCCATGTACACTACCTCACAGGTGGAGTGGAAACGTGTGCATATTATGGAAAACACACTTTTTCAACTTTTTGAATCGCTATATCTCAGAAATGGTTATTCTTAGGAATAAAGTGTAAGAACAATTTTTATAGATAATGATCTACAATTCTGCCCTATTTTTATAATAAAACTTACCACTTGCCTGAAAAATGCAAAAAACCCATATTTGCGAAATTTGAGCTTGAATAAACTTTTTTGCATGTGTGGGATCGATGGGAACTTTTCACATTTCATTTATAATGGCGTTCCCAACATTCGTACCAATTTTCAGCTTTATGCGAATTATTGTAAGCTTACCCCTATTTTTTGAGTTACTTTCACCGGGTTATATAATTGAAGTGATAATATAACGCGGCATATTTTTTATTTGTATGTTCTTTTCAATGTGAGGTTAGATTAAGCAAAAATAGTTCAATAAAAATAACCCCTGACTGATCTTTCTGAAGAAAGGATTTAGGTACATATTTTAAATTTTTTTTACAAGTGACAAAACACCCAAAAAACAAAGGAAAAAAAATATTTATGTCTAAAATTTTATTTAGAAATATTTATTTTTAAGAATAACCTGCTACGTAAACAGGAAATGTACAGGGTTATAACTTTTTAATTGTCCTATACAGGATGTTTCTATTTTAAGAGTTACAGAAACGGGCAAAAATGTGCAATTTTATGCCGATCACGGATTCGTTTTTAAATTTAAAAAATTCCGAATAGTTCGGAAGATATTCGAGGAAAACCGATTTTATACTGTTTTTAGTCGTATTTCACTTGTTCTTCAAAATTTTTTGACGAAATAGTGTAGTCTGATATTAAATGAAGTGTGAAATCGATTTTTGCTGTCAGTATTAACATATCTCTAAAATTGTGTGCTGAGCGGTAGTTAACGTTTGTTTTTTTTATGGACGCCATATTAAATTTTTGCCTCATTAGAAGAAAGGGGAAAATTCTTTTTACAACGATGTATAATTTATGGGGTTTTCAAAAATAAATTACCAGGATATTGAATATAATTATAATTTTAGTGAAAAAGTCAAGTAGCCATGTGAAACATTTGAATTTTTCTATAAATTAATTTGATATGAATTATATGGTTAATTCAGACCATGAAGTACAAAGAGTAGCAGAAGTGTATGGGGACTATATGCCCTATTAATTTTTTAATAGGAATCGGAATTAAAAGATTCACTCTTTTACCATGTAACAGATCTACCATTTTGCTTCTAGTATTGAAACAATCAAAGAAGTAGTTAATATGAAATATCCTTTATTAACAATGTATACTTATAATATACTCCTAATAGACACATTGATTGGAGTTGTTCCCTTCTATTTTAGTATTAAAACACTAATAAATTTAACTCAAACCTATTTACGTATGCTTGCCTTCAAATTCTATGAAATACATTTTAAGATTTGAAAATAAAATTGATAAACAGTAACTGTGATATATTTAAAGCGCTATCTGGAACTTGATATTCTACCTTAGAAAAAAACTGAAACTTATAAAAAATTATTTATTTTTAACTTAAGTATTACGGCGAAAAAAATTCTGAATCGTTCTCATTTTGTAACAGAAAAAAAAAATCAATAAAATTCTGTGTTATAAAATTTTACGACATATTCCAAATAATAAAAATATACAAGGTTAGTCAAAAATAAGTAGGTACTAGTGAAATTAATTTCCAGCAAACTAGGAACTTGACAAACTGTTTCCAAATGATATTTTTGTCTTAAAACGTCGTTTTTTCGGCCATATATTTTCAAGTTGCTTTTCTGATAGCATATTCCGATTCTGCAGGACTTCTTATATATATTTTTACTTATTGCTTTTTCAAATAATTTAATAATAAAGGAGTAAACTTCAATAAATGATGGATATGAATTAGAAATAATTTTAAAATGCCTGACATAATCAAAATTTATTATCCCTTTGTTTGTTATATACATTTCAAATTCTTATTGTTGGCAAAAAAAGTATATATATATCCAACTGCAATTATGGAAATAAGAAAAAACTTACTGAAATTTCCTCCATTATACTGTTTGTGCTTATTATTTTCTTGTAGTTGGGTACATAAAAACTTTTTTGATTAGTCTCTTTATTAGGGTAGGTACGGCAATGTTAGCTTTTGATTTACAGTCCATATTCACAAGAAGTTGTTCAGTTTTGACAAATTTTCCTGAATTAGAAGTATATAATATCTTTGATAAGAGTTCATTAATTGACTTTGACCTTCGCTTGTAATTTCATTAAGAGCATTTTAACTTTTAATTATTATGAGCATAAATAGAGATGGAAATGTGTTTTTCAATGGTGGTAGCTAAAACATGAATTTATAATAAGCATCTCCGAATGATAATGAAATAGCGACTGATGAAAAATTTTGCGATTTAAAAATCGGAAATGTTTACTTTAGGGGTATAACTGGCATTAACAACGCAAATACTGGATTTAGATCTACTAACAAAACATATAAATGTTAAAGCTTAACCTGCTATTGCCAATATAATGGAAAACACGAATTTTATTACACATTTTAAAATTTCATATATTTTTAACATGTATGGACAAACAAATTTAAAACAATTTCAGTAACATGTGGGGGATCGCGGTACCCATACCAACGGATCAATAATTTTTTAACTGGTAGGTACTTTAGAGTAAGACCAGGCGAGCCTTTCTCCCGCGATAGACCGATTCTTAGCGATTCTTACCTTAGAGTTCAGTTTTGGGGCCCCTATTGTTTATTATATATGCGATATTCAATATCACGTCAAGAATAAGGCATCTTTCTACACAGATGATACTAAACTATACGCCAATCCTGATAGTGTGCCATCAACGAGACTTAACGTCCATTCCAACTAGTGCGATGAATGGCTACTTCCGCCAAATGCAGACAAGTGTGTTGTTCTCCATATTGGCCGTAGAAATCCCCATTGTGTGTATTCATTACATGGAAGTGTTAACAACAGTAACTTTTCACAATGATCTAGGTATCACAATAAATTCCAATTTGTTGTAGTCAGATCATGTAAAGTTTGTGTGTAAACGTGCTAACTCTAGCTATTTACTGCGAACGTCGCTCGCTAATTTATCGTTTGATGTGTCGTTTAAACTATACTGCAGTTATGTGAGGCCAATTCTTGAATACGTTGATTCTGTATGGTGCCCTGATCTCATCCGAGACCAGCAATCCTTAGGACGAGTTTGATTTTCCTAGGTGGAACGACTCTCCATGGTCCATCTCACAGACTTTCAGCAACGTCGTCTTCGAGGCGATTTAATTATGACATTTAACATTCTTAAATTTAATTTTGGTAACATGTCTTCAATCTACTCGTTGAATATTGATGATCGTCTCCGTGGTCATGAATTAAAGTTAAAAAAAAATTTTAAATATAGAGCAAGGCAATTATTCCTATTTAACAGAATTTTTACAATTTGGAACAATTTACCGGCTTCAATAATTGGCGCACCATCGCTTAATTCATTCAAAAGTAGACTGGATGCCCACCTTTTTTTAATAAATATTAGTTTAAGTTAATTCTTTAGTATATCATGTTTAGTATATTGAGCTGTAAATACTTTGTTAATTTTGGGTATAATAGAACTTAAGACCTCTGCCCTAAACTATATTGTAATAATAAATATAATAATAATAATAATAATAATAATAATAATAATAATAATAATAATAATAATTACTAAATAAAGTTAAAATTTATTGTCTCTTTTTTATTGTATTTATTGCAAATTATTGTTTGTAAACTGGCCATTTTTCTTTATTTAGCGAAGCGAAAGTATAAATGAATGCTTCATTTGTAATTTTGAAGGCGAGTGTTGCCTTGACCCAAACATCAAACCAAAGTACAACCCGTCTGTGATATTACCGATCTAAATGCCTTTTTTTATTTTACTCTTTTTGCCTATATTTGTGATGTGTTGAATTGCTGAAATGCGGTGAACGGTTTAATCCCGTGGGTTACTTTGTCATAAAAAAGTTTATAAATCATGTTGTGCGTCAGTGGAAATCATGGAGGCGTAAATAATTTTTCTGAGCGGTATTTAAAATATGTGTAGTCTGTAATAACGATGAAAATTTGTAAGACCACTTTAACTTAGCTAATAAGATACAGTAACCTACAGGTTGTTCAATTGGGGAACATGTAACGTTGGTAAAACATTATGAAAAATACAGAAATATCGTGAAAGTAATGTTTAATAAAATAGTCAACATGATTATTGCATAAAAAGGTAAATAAGTACACTGCCTTCATAAATACCCGAGTCTCACGTTATCAGATTTGTTTTGGCGTTCAGTAAATTTGATTTTCTTAAGTTGGTGCTTCAGAAACCACAAAGGAAACGTCTCCAACTGGGACCTTAGATCAAATCCAAGGATGTTCGTAATTGTTTGAACAATTTAGCAGTTTACTAATATATCTGTGCTTAGCTATAAATTAATCATTGTCTATTGAGTTGAAAAAAAATGCGACGTTTTTTAAATTTAATCGAAAGATGTTTTATTTGTTACATTCTCGTAGATTTGTGTAAAAATGCCGTTTAACCGGAAGAAGACATTTACTTTGATGGAATATTTTCGCAGTGGTACACGGATCGCAGACGGAAGTTGGTCTTACTTACTACTTTGCAGTCCTGCATCGAACAATTTTTGAAGCCTTCCTTATGCTAACATCGGACGTGATGTTTACTTCACAATGGTCTTCTCTTCACATTCAGTTGAATCAATTCCTTGGAAGTACAAACTGCTTTCACACATCCTTGCTATCTGGTCTT